GCACATTAAAAATACATTTATTTATTCAATTTGATGGGTTGGGATGATTTATATCCGGCCTTTATTATTATTTTTAAATAACTCAAACATATCCAACACTCCTTCCTCCTCCTATTTTCCCCACAACAACAAGCCTGTGAAGTGGGCTGGGCTGAGAGCCCAAAGTCACCCAGCTGGTTTCTGTTCTGTTGGAAAAAAAATAATCCATCTGGTTCAGTTCCAAGCTGGGAGAAAGACGCTGGAAATGAAGGCTGATTGGAAAGAAAGGGACCATTTATTGGTGAACAGAACCACCAGGGTTTGTGGTCTGGTTCAGTTGAGCTATTACTAGATGAGTGCCAGGATTTTTATATAGGTCCTGAAATACCCTTAGGAGATTCTCGTGCAATGTCGTGAACTCTGTGTCTTGTGCTAAATGGTAGTGGATTAATCTGATTATGTCCTAAATGGTCATGTCTTGTTCTTCTTAATCCCATCAATCTGGAGCTGAAGGTGTTTTATTTTATAGATAGTCTGTCTGGCCCATTTTTTCCTAATGGGCACAAAATATCTGCTAGGGGTCTGTTAAGAAAGGTTGAGTCTGTTTCTGTCTTTGATAGCATGTTTCTCCATTTCTCCCTTTGGAGAAATTTAATGTTCTGTTTCTTTTAATATTCCCCCAAATATTTCATTCTTCTGGGGTGGCTGGCTTCCCACAATTCATAAGGTGGAACTAGAACTCACTGTCTCCTGGTGATTGGCCCAGAACCATTCATCTGGCTTTCATGTCCATGGCCGGACCAGAATTCACCATCACTGTCTCCTGCTGATTGGCCCAAGCTGGGTTTCATGCCTAATGCAGGACTAAAATTCCCAATCCCCTAATGATTGATTGAAAAGCCATCTGGCTTTTATGCCTAAAACAGGATTTGAACTCAAGATCTCTTCTGTCTAAACAAAATCTCCCTAGAAGATTTTTTCCCCCCTCTTTTTCTTCCCAAAACCGCCTGTCATCACTTATTGAGGCTTTCAGAGATATTTGCAGAAAAGGTCCAGAAAAGTCAAAATGGGCTTCCCCCATGCTATACTTGAAACTGTACCTTGTTCAATGTCCGCCACATATTACAGCCACAGTGAATTCTGTCTGCAGAATTCAAAAATTTAAAAAAAATGCACCAACACTGTGAATGTTGGCATCTTGGTGTTTGTTGTTGGCATGCAACTTATCTTAATGGCAATCATAACCTCTTGCCCAGTCTTGTGCAAGGAACCCTTTGCATTCAAAAAAGTCAAACCAACACCCACACCAGTTTCATAGAAATAACCACATAAGATATACATCTGGCGTTAGGCTGGCATGAAAAGTCTGTTTCAGATTGAGGTCATCTTGCAAAACAGTTTCTTTGAACATGTGCAGAGCGTGCTATTGCTTGAGCTTTGTTCAGTTTTGCATGTTTTCCCCTTTTATGACCTTTCTTACCACAGTAATTAAGTGAATCATTGCAGTTGTTACGTTAGTCCAGGGGTCCCCAAACTTGGCAACTTTAAGACTTGTGGACTTCAACCAGAATTCTCCAAGTTTGGAGACCTCTGCGTTAGTCAGACCGTTGGGAAGTGAGTCTGTCTTCCCCATTGACTTTACTCATCAGAAGATCGCAAAAGAGGATCATGTGACACCCCCCCAGGACACTGCAACCGTCATAAATATGAGTCAGTTACCAAGTATCTCAATTTTGATCACATGACCATGGAGCTACTACAACAGTCGTAAGTGTGAAAAATGGTCACAAGTCACTTTTTTCAGTACTGGTGTAACTTAGAACAGTCACTAAACAATGGTTGTAAGTACCCCTTTTGGGGGTCTGTCATAACTTTGAATAACCAGTAAGTGACTGGTCGTAAATCAAGGACTACCTGTAAAGAGAGATGAGGAGTGTTAACTGTTAGGAATAACCATAGTTACCTAACGTTGTTTGGGTAAATAATATATAAACCATGACAGCAACATATAAGTATGTCTACAATGGAAGCAGAATTTTCATGT